ATTGGTTGGGATGGACCAACCATGGGATGGCAAGAAGACATGCCTAGTCCTTATGGACCTGTTATTCTTCATTATATCGATAGGCTATGGCCTTTACATTAGGTGAGAGCTGTCGATATGGGGTTATTCTGGCACAATTGATAGAGCAATATGTTCATCTCTACTGCTCTTCATTCTGTGTGCAACCGGTCGTATCACCCAGATTCGGCCGTCCAGCCGGGCCTCTAGTGGGCTCTCCTCTCGTCCTCGCTCGTGGCGGAGCGATGGGCACACTCCTGTACAGTATTGCTTTGTTCGCCACCATGAGCCGTCGATTAATTACATCGCTATATAAGATGACTGAGTATAAGCCCCTGTTACACTCTCTTTCAATTCATGTACATGCAGCCTGGATGTTAGCATTGTGTGTGGTGGTAAGACTCAAGACTCAAGTAGGTTGAACTGATCTCTGGCTCAACCATCAGGTGCATGTTCTTGGTCATCTGGTGGGTACAGTGCCTGTGTTTATTGACACTGAAGCAAGCATCATCAATTCAGTACGTTATCCCTCAGTTCGAAATTATTAGCAAATTGTCCTTCAGGTATTAGTATGTGCCAAGTCTAACTTTCGCCCTCTTTTACCGTTATTGGTTCCCATTCACCCACCGTGTCCATTAGAATCAACTCCAACAGTTTGGAGTATATTTTCAAGCACTGTTGGTTGGTCAGGCATAGTCCTGATGTTCATACTAGGACTAATGTATGTCTCACTCATTGTGATATCCTTTGTTGGACTTGTGTCTCTCAGGGGACGCTATTCTCGAAAGAAGTTTCGATGGTCTCATCATAAAACTTTTCAATTTATTCATACTACATGCATGCTCCTTTTCATGTTACTTCTTTATGTGAGTAGTCGCTGCCTACACTGTCGCTTATAAATCGTGACTGCATGATTTAGTGGTACGATTCGCGCTTACGGTACATGAGGTCGCGGGTTCCATTCTCGGCTAAGTGTGTTCGTGAATGATCGTCAGATACACGGTTCATCACAACTTCTAGGGCACGGTTTGCCCTTCGTAGTCCCCATCGTCATGCCAATATGCCTAGTGTGATGGCACACTTTCTTAGGAGTATCGAATAGAGAAGCCTTGCTAACCTCAGGTACACATTCTCCCGCATTCGGCGCAATTTCCATCGCCGTCTACTCATCATCCGGGCAGAGAGTGTAAGCTCGGAACTACTAAGGATTGATATTGCCACAGGAGAGAGGTTCTTGAAGCGGTGCAGTCCAGGGTGATCAGTAAAGGCCCTGGGATTCGAACCTGAGACCTCGAGGTGTCGCTTCAGGATGTATGTCCACGTCCTTTGCCCAGAAATTTCGTGGTTCGAGTGGCATCCATTCAGTGTTGCCAATTGGCCCGCACTTGGTACGGGCTTCGTCAGGCTTTTAGTCAATACTAAAGGAGATTGGACTCGACAACTCCGTCTAAGGTAACAACAAGAAAATGTCACACTGACATTGCATATGCATTGGATCCACTGATCCTACTATTATGATGATGGCCAGGTGTGAGGAGAGGCCAGACGATCTCCCTCGAGTTAAGCTAGACGGTCCCTTCTGTGCTCCAGCACAAAGCATCAAAGCAGACTTTATGGGTCCGCCCTTGGTAAGAGAGACCGCTCCTAAGCGATCGTCAACGAAGAAGTGGTGGAGTAAACAGAGTGCTAGCGTAGGCCATCAGCCGTCTCAATGCATGGATCAATCTCACCCACCTAGACCCGCGACTTGGAATATACCAGCGACCTCGGTGATAGCGACGACGATGACCTAGAGCGCGGCCAGCTCGATGGCACAGCGGCACAGAATAATCATTGCGGGTGCTCCCAGGATGATGTCATCGTATGCATCGGTGCAGGAGTGGGTATTACACCCTTCTTGAGCAGCCTTGATGCAATGCTCAAGAAGGCAGCCGCGCATAAGGCCTCAGGTGAACACGAAGAGATTTGTCGAAACAAGAAGGTGAGCTCTTCTCCTGTGGGGAGCCCTCGGGATCTACGCTCTGTAAGGTATGGTTTTATTGGCTCACTCGGAATGCAGGGGACTTCCTCTCCGGCGTGAGTATATTGCGTCAGCTTTCGGCAGCTGCTTCAAGAATGCTCCACAATGGTGACACCGGCCTAGCTGGGCTCATAGAGGTCCATTTGAGATTGCATGTTACTGCTGCAGTCGGGGTAGAACGCTGAGTATTCGAGGCAATTGGTGAAGGATGCCCATGTCTTAGCCTCTGCAGCTCCAGAAGCCATCCACCTTCCTATTCCATGAAAGCCTAGGTAAACTCATCTGCTTGCAGTCAGCCACGGCTTCTACACCATCGGACGAGGAGAATAAGTAGACTCCTTATTGGTGACTCGCTTGAGCCATGCCTGATAGGCAAGCCTTCCTCTGTGACATTCCAGCCGGGTCAGTATTGAATGACTCGTACACAGCCGACTCGTCCGACGATACCATGAGCATAATTCGAGATAGCAACCATGGCAGCAGTATACCGATCCGCTTTGGTCGTCCTTGTTGGCCACAGGACTTTGTGAACATCGCAATGAACGATCGTTGTCCACTCCACAAAGGGCATACAACAAATTCACCAGGACTAGTAGAGGCTCCGACCAAATGGGTGTAATCTTGGACAGCTCTCACCTTGGAGCATGTTGGCAAACTAGATACCTCTGTGGGAATACTAGACTGCAGGCTGATGTAGCTGATGCATGCCGATGGGCATCCAACGAGACAGGGCATAAATTCGTAGCCTTCTACTGCCACTGACATCAGCAGGCTCAATGTGCGATATGGTCAGGTACTTATGTGTGAAGAATTCTGATCAACACAGTAGTAGTCGTCAACAGCAGCAGCAAGTCGCTTTCGAATAGTTAGAAGTGTTCTATTATATTATCCCCAATGCATTTGCTGACATAGATCGGCACAGATTCATTATAAGCCGTCCATTATGGGGGCGCTCGAACCTTATATCACATATATATATGATATCGATGAGCATTCTCGTCCACCGCTCTGCATGGAACTCGTCTTCTCTTCTATTGTGATCCGGTCTTGAGTTAATAATAGAGGGAGGTATGACAATATCAGCCATTACGCACTCGCACATATGACCGCTGCCAAGCACTGGTCGTCCAATCGTCAATTTCAGCAGGCAAGTCTCTTCGTCCCCAGCGTGCCTCCATGTATGCTCTCTTCAGGCCATAACCTCCTGGCTACTGGCCATTATCATCGTCGTCGTCACCCTCTCACCTGGCTATGCTCTGTCGAAGGGTTCTTATGAAGCTGACCATGATGCCCCAATAGTGTTCAAAGAGAACCTAGTTGAACTTGCCATGTTGGATCCCATTTATTTACAACAAGAGAGTAAGTATATGTCTCATCAGCTGATGCGTGTATGTCGATTCAGGGCGAGCGCTGTATTACCAAATCCCTGTTGGCGGCTCGGCCGTACCAATGCCTCGAGGCCCGAGTGAGGACGAAAGTTCGAAATACGTGGCTGAGTTGTTGCAGTACTTACAAGCATTCAGAAGAGACATTGACACTAAAGTAAGAAGACTATTATCTAGTCGTTTTCAGGCGGATCATTTCCACTACGCATGATGTTCCCTCAGAAGCCGGACCATGGCAAAGTGGTAGACGTGGCGTCCAACGCCGTGCCGAAATCGCCGCATTCGGCACATCCCCAGCAGCACTTAGAGCCCTCTGAGGCTGTCGGGGTAGACAATACAGTAGACTTGCATGCTTTCTTCACCGGCAATTGTGTAGGTCAACCACATGCTGGCGGCTCGAGGAAGCTGCCGGGCCTTCGCTGAGCAGAGTTGCTTGAATCCCGCCTTAGATGCACAGCCCGACGCGCAGCGTGAGGCCTCGTTGTGGTACTTGTTCATTCGGTTAAGACTGGATGGTCAGGTATATTGGAACAAGCCTCTGATAGTGGACTTGCCACCAGTACACGTAGGCTCTCAGTGGAGCAATGCCGAGAAGACGTGAGAACTATAATGCCGTCTGTGAGGGTTATCATGGCCTCAGACCTGTGATGCTGAAGCCTGTGTGGATACGACCAACGAGCTCCGCTGCCGAGGATGCCTCCGCAACTGCTTCCGGTGGGATGCGAAGGCTTAGCGATGATCGAGGGCTTCGGTCAGATACTGCCTATTCCAGCATGAGCTGCTCTGTATGAGGCGATTGTGTGCATCATCTATCCTCGCTGCTGTAGACGCTTTCGTGAGGACTGTCGGCAGCGGGCGTGGTCCGTGGGCGGGGAAGGGAGAGGCCTTGTCCAAAGTGAGTGGCGCTGTTGGTAGGCTATTATCATGTTTCACTGTTTCGTTATAGGCCATTGGTGTCCATTTCTCCACCTTACAAGGACAACAGATAGACGAGACCGCCAAGTAGGTGGGGGTTGGTTGTGTGTGAATGGATGTCTGATGTTCTCAGATGGGTTCATCAAATCCTGGATCGAGATGTGACACATCCTCAGTGCACAGAAGATCATACAGCTGACAGCGATCCGACGGGATACCTCCGCAAATTGGTCGGTTAGCTGAACGACTCGATCTCGAATTCATCTTCGTCATGAATTGCACAAATGCTCTACAAGTTTGATACTCAGGTTACATGCACTCAAAGATCTCCTCAAGTGGCCCTTGAGAAGGCAACCGAAAGCACTGTTGGGCCCCAGGTCCTATGCGCCGATATGCCGGATAGAAAAGTCGCTGATGGTGAGTTCTCGTTGAGTCCCGCATGATTTATGTAACTGCTCAGGTGGGGCTCCGGTCAACTTCACAGCCATCGCTGAAGAAAGGTCTCAACGCCTTTGGATTCACATGACTAAGGATGCCGCAGTGGTGCATGCATGAACACATGCTTAGTACAGAGGTTGTCTGCGCTCTTTGTTTTTGCGTACGGAGTCATGTGGTTCACGCGAGCGCACGGTAGCCACCTATCCCTAATAATTGTAAACTGAACGAAAAGGACTCCTGTGATACCATTGGAGTCAACCCGTTTGTTCAATAGTCAGATTTTTTGTTATCTTCAATATGTTCTGGCAATGACTTCTGCTCGGTCGTACTCACTCCGAGCGATCTTGCCATAGATGAATAATACTAAGGTTCGCCCAACAGCTCCGAAATATATCGATAGTCACGAGGAAGACTGAAACGATCTGCATGACGTGATACACAAGGCAACTGAGCTGGTACTCTATAGAGATTCATACGATAACAAATTCCCCCATCAACCGATGCATGAGAGCTATCAGGTCATCAAATGCTTGCACAAGCATGGCCAGCGATGAAACAGAGCCGGAGTTTAGAAATAGCGTGTTCTCGAGCTCTCCTACATGCTCGACTGATGACGATCCGTCGAGATATTGCTAGGATCTCGTCATCCCCTTTACTTCAACCCAGTGCCGGCTACGATTCTAACAACGAACATCTCATCAGGCATGCTTTATTGTATTGTAAAAACAGCTACGATAATATCTAAATCAGCTTCTCTATATTACCCTCACCCTCCTCTACGACTTCTCGATTGAGCACGTTCGGCGGAAGAGTGGGAGGGACATATTTCCCGAACTTCTCCACATCTTTCTCATTCGTCTTCTCATAAATATCACAAAGTTTCGCATACAATGTAGTCAGCTGAAACGGCTCGTCGGAAGTCATGACGAAACCCCCGACGGAGGCCATCACGTCCTCCTCATATCTCATTTCGTGACCTAGATGGTAGTTGAGGTGATCGAGAACCATCTTGCACCCGTAGTGGCCACCGAAGTATCCCAAGGGTGGCAGAGTCCCATGGCTAAGCGTCGGGAGAGGATCGGGTTCTCGGTGCGTCGCATCCATTCTACCCTGGACATATAGCGGGTTGGATATGGGCGCGGTGATGCTGTGAAGTTTAGCCACGTCGCCAAACGTTACGTCACTGAGAAGAAAGATTGTGTTAAGGAGATGCTATTATATGAACAGTTCTATTGTCAACATACATACGGCATTGAGTTAGGAACAGGTCGAGAGCTAAACCAAGAGCCTACTAGTGGAAAGTGTGATTGGAACAGCGCATCATCCAAGTGTGGAGGCAATTCTTTTCCCAGTCCACAGCGAAGACCCATGGGACCGTCCGGTTCTCAACATAAACTGTACACGTGTTATCTCCAGAGTCTCTCACAATGGCTCTATCGATCTGCAACATCCAAATCCAGCAAACTAGAGAATAAGAGGGAGCACTTAGCCTACTTCAAGTGCTGGAACCTCCCGCACTCTATCCTCTACAAGTCGTCGATAGCCAGCAGTACTACGCGTACTGGCGTAAACTAAAGATGCACACAGGACCAAGGAAGATAACCACATCATGTGAAAAGAGATACTGATTGTATGGATAGGTTGATAGTCCGCTTCTACTGAGGAAGATTAGCCCCGGAAAGTTTTTTCGAGTGGAATACCATGACAACTCTCGGCGAGCGAGAATAAACATGCTGGGATTCCGACATGCACAGGTCCATTGCGTCTGACGCTAATATGGATGGATACATCTGATGTGATCACGTTTTGTTGAGCTGTTCACGCACGCGTGAGCCAAGAATGACTATGAACGCAACAGCTCTCAATCCTTGGTGAAGCTACAGGATCCGGAATGTACATGCAAAGAGGAAGTTGAAATCACTGAGCAGGGGTTGAGTCTTCTGGTTAGTCTTCAATGTCAATTTCCCCATTGTCTAGGGTCTGCGCAAAAACTCCACGGTCGCGAAGCTTATCAGATCTGTCCTATAGAAGAGATCGACCTCCAAACCGTTATGAAGGACCTGGCCAAACTCTCTCTTGTGCCGCATCTCGCATATGAGCTGCAGTGTAGTCGAATTCGCGACTGATTCGGATCCCCTTGGTTTCTAGCGGCGATAGCATTCAACTACCAATGCTGTTGTCGTCTATGGTAGCTTACGCTGGGCCTCCGTGAAAGCGGCTTTCAGAAAGCCTCAGGCTGAGGCCCTCAGCATAGCCGTCCTCTGAGAGGACGCTGATCTCATTGACTCAGGGGTGTCAGAGGACTCCTCTGACACCATTCAGAATTGCGGCTCGTTAGCTACAACCCCAGAGGCAACGGTAAACTGTCACCAGAGAATAGCGCAGGTCTCCCATCATAGAGATCACCGAAATGCCGGACGGAATCTTATGCAGAGCAGAGGATAAGTTGAAGACAATTGTGCTCATATTTTTAACTCGTTGCCATCTCAATCAAGAGTAAGCAAGTGCAGTGCAGAGAAGATCCCACGCTAGTCTCAGAGGCGCGACTGAATTCAATATCCTCCTCGTGTTTGTTGGTGCTGCCACCACCACCACACTCACGACGGGTGAATGTCCGCACTAGACCTACCGAACCTAGTATGATGTATGGAAGTTTGTCGTGTAGGTTGTCTAAGGAGCTAGTAGGGGGGGGACGAACTATTCATAGAATGATGGAATAGTCATGGTATCCTCCGCAAGCCGTCAATGCCGTTTCCCATCCCGCCCAACTATCTCAGCCTGATAGATAAACAACGTCTACCAGGCTGAGATTGTACGTCTATTAGAAGTGAAGAATCGGAATGGTTTTCAGTAACATCCTCAAGCCGTTTGAAGTAATACACTTATGCGGCACGCCAGTACACAATTGTCATAACAAAAGGCTATTGAATACTCGTGAAGCGGGTGTAGAAATGTTAATATGATCTATGCAAGAACATCATCATCACAAACAGTAGGTATACCGAGACAAACAGGAAAGCATCGAAACTATCAGAAGTTGTCCCAGTCAAAATCGTCGCCCCATCCCTCGCTGACTTTCCTCGCTGAGGCCTTCGGTTCTACAGCAGAGCTCGGGACGGTCCCCGCCTTCGGCACATGGTGAATGCCGTCTCCAATACTTTGACTCGAGAAACTCTTCACTCCATCAGTTGTAGGATCTAATAGCGAATCCTTCTCTTCAGTCTGAGCTTGTTAATATCGAATTACCTCGTGATAGCTTCATCGCCGCTATATTGCCGCTGGTATGTTCATCATCTAAACTCCCTTTGTCACTCCGCGGAGTGTAATGACCATTGGAAGGCGAATTGTCTTCCGGTAGGGGTACGTCATCAAATTCCCCCCAGAAGTCGTCCCCAACATTATCCAACCCGCCACCGAAATCAAGATCGAGTTTTGTGCTGCCCGTTTTCTCTGTAGACACTTCGAGCGGGGCCTGATAGGAAAGTAAGCCAATACGCACACCAAAGACAACCGACTATGGTGCAACCACGAAAATGAGTCATATGGGTAAGGTTCGAGCATGAACGAAGATACTGATGACACTCACGTTCATAGCGACTGAATTATTATGGGACGTGTTCCTCTTCGCAACGATGGGTGCCGGCGGAAGCGGCGGACCATTAGTCTGGACCTTCGAGTAAGCAGCCCCATGACTGTCGCCTATGGTACCGGAGGTTGGGCCTGTCTGTGAGACGCCCAGACCGAACCTATCAGGATGAAATTATAACAGTGTTCCGCAGTGTTCAGATAGTAGATGGAAAATCTATCAATAGTCTACTTGCAGACAACAAGACAGGCTCATCCCAAGGCACACCTTCCGAAGACGTTATAGACACTACTGCTGGAGGGAACGCTCTTCTTCGCAGTAGCGCCGTTGTCAATTCCATGAGGAGAAGCCTCCCCATGATCCTCCTTCAACTGCGCCTCACGTCGCGCTTCCAGCATACCTTCCCGAACTAGTCTGATACGAGAGTAGAATGGATGAGGTAGAGCGTATCCCTCTGTACTTGAGCATTGGCTGGATAGCGTCATAAGCAGCATCCTGCACTTCCGGACTCGGATCGACGATTCGAAGCATCAACAACGGCATTGCCTAATAGAGAGCCAATAGACTGGAGATTTCCTTCTTCTGCTCACCTTCCCTCCAAGATCTGTTGGGTCGTAGATGCTGGACGTGGCCTGTATCGCTTGAATGCACGCCACTCGACAGGGCGGGAAACTATCCTTCATACCGGTTATAAATGCATTGAGCAGGATCTGCAATAGATGAATAAGCAGCACTGGTCCGATGATATAATGGTGAGAGAATCCATCCATCCTGGCGGAATAGGCATTAGAATCGTTATTCGGAGGACTGAATGCTCTCACCTGAGGTTTCTGTGCTGGGTCAAAGTGATCAGAAATCTTCCCTATACAAATGGCGGTGTTGGTACCTGGGCTCACCATGTGTCACGGCAGAGCCATCCGCACAGCAAGCAAGCCTCACGGATTGAAGGCTCTGGATCGCCTTGGAGCTTGGTAAGGTTCTTCAGCACCTTATTCGTCACCGTTGACGTTTTCAATTTCGGCGCTAGCAGGACCTGGGTTGCAGGAATAAACCACTGAGGAGTATCGCCGATTGGTATAAGTTTACTATCGACTTTAGAGTCTGCTCTCTTATGGCGCTATGGGAGTCATTGAAGCCGCTAGATATCTCAGGGTATCTAAGATCTGCATAACTCCACCAGATCGTGAGGCTCACCGCAAATGCTACAGTGTATTTTCGACCATCTTATTGTCCATATGCTCTACATATACGCCCATATTGCACAGTAGCCGATACCGAATCGTACCTGAGTACGCGCTCAACGGCTGGTTGCACCAAGCTCGACATATCATGAGTGGACATAGACGGCCAACAGGTCAGTATCGCGGGAAAATACGATCTGATTTAGTCTCACACGAGACTTACGATCTGAGGATCCGAACAACTTCAACACGGTGGGGAGAAGATCGCGCTTGAACTGCTCGGGGTTCAAATATGCACCTGATACGAACGACTCTAATCTAGTGTGAATCACTGATAGTTCCACTACTGATCTTTGTGAGGTTCACCAGTGCTGGCGCTGCTAAACGAGGAACAGCATTCACCACCTGAATATAATACGGAACAAACATGCATTTTGAAAACTATACACGTTGTGAGTTGATAGCTGAAGACGGCTTTGTGAGCTGGAGTGTACGCACCTGGACTAAATCCTGGAGCAGAACAGTCACTTGCATAGTCACCGGCAGGCTCGGCAAAGCGTTCGGTAGCAAACCTGAGAATATGCGATAGCCTCAACCTCAAACTCGTCTTTCGATGTTTCAAGCGATTCGAGGTGTGAATTCGACAGTCAAAAGGTCGTGATATTCCTTAATGCCTAGCTAGGATTCAGTGCCCGTCATAAGACGAGCTCAATGGCAAAGAGCGAACAACTCGAGACCGAGAGAGGCAATTATCAATGGTAACACGGCATGGAATTCGAGACGTGAGGATATCACTTGAACACATAAACAACCAGTGAAATAGTCAAGTCACTTGGCTCAAGTGGATAATGATAGTAGTGGACAGCACGGAGAGACATGACCCTCCATACAATAGGGGATATTTGGAGCGAGACTCTGGAGGGAGCGCGAAGACCATGAATTCTAGGTCCGTGAGCAAGGACGTGAAGAGAATCATGAGGAGTAGCACGGAGAGTATCACAATGGCGACAAATAGTCTCATGATTGCGTTAAGGACACTGCGTTTGAAATCTAAGTGAATGATAATTGAAATCTCCTCACGTTTACTGAGACTGAGGTATCATCCATGTCTGCAATTGACTGAGTCGCTTTCACTCACTTATTTGTATATCGTTTCAAGTACAACCTTACACGCGTGAACAAGAGTAAGCTTTCACTCCTAGGCAGTGCTATTAGACAGTACTCAGTCAGTGAAGATGTCACTTCGGAACGCTGTGTGAACGCTATCATGCCCCGTAAGCTACGGCTCTGTTAGAACCCTTTTGTCTGGTGATCAGCCTGTTCTCGCCGCTGACGCACCTCGGCACATCAGAGCATATCACTGGCACTGCATTTTCCGGAGACCTAGTCTTGACTAACCCCATGGAGAAGACGGAATTACCCTAGCCAGCACGGGAGCGGATGTCACTCCTAAACTTCACGTCGACGTGAGCATAAGTATGCACTAGTTTAGTGTCACTCAGCTCTTGCTGATTGACGGGAGACCTTGTCCACTCACGTTCAAGTGGAAATTACAAATCCAGCACTTTTAAATAGCCCACAACATGGTGTGTAGAGGGTGATCCTGGAACCCCCGAGTTGAAGACTTCCTCAAGGATAATTAGCAAATCGCCAATGGTGGCAATCTCCTCGAGTCGCTGTGAGCCATTACCCAGCAGAGACCATGATATAGCTGAGGAAGAGTCAATGCTCCTCCGGATCATGTGCTCCCGGTGGAAGGATCATTGTGTTAGCGATGGTTCTCCACATTGATCTGTTGAAGAGTTCCCAAGTGCCATCCACAGTGAACCGATCCACCGTAATGATATTGCACAGTTTGATGCTTCTTCACGGGTAGGAATATCAGACTCTGGAGTAACGTCACCCCATGGATACAAGTTCAGGATAGAGCATGAAAATAGCGGGTCGCTAGCTGGACTCGGCAGTGAAGGTAGTGACTTGAACGGTAGTAATCGTGTTTCTGATTTGATTGTTCGAACCAGAGCTAGTGACGTAACCTGTGGTGTGAGTGTCCACCGATTTTACTCCATCAGCCACCCCAGACGGAACTTGGGAAATAATTCAGTTTACGCCGGTGTATGCATTAATGCCCCCCGGAAGATATGTTATTCTCCGCTCACCAACTTACTATCGAAAAACTCGTCCTGTGCCGCCGCCGTTGCCAAACGAAACTGAGACTCTAAAAAATGGACGATGGTAACCTGAAAAGATATGGCTGGCAAAACCCGAAATTATAGAACCACGCACAGGAAACAAACACAAATGAAGACGTGTCTATTCGATTCAGCCTATTCCCGGGGATATCAGATGACATGTTCACTGAGACCTCTCCAGACGAGTGCGAAACTAACGTCGAGCGTAAATGAGTCAGTATTGTTATCAATTCCACTAGGGGAGATTCCATCTGGGGTGGTTACCACAATGATGTCAAATTTAACGAGACCTGCTCCTTGGAACCGCAACCACTGACCTGAGTGTTTTCCTTCAGGAAGCCGCTGTACGCCAATCTAGAGACGACCTTGCCAGCATCACGCGTTCGAGAGATCTCATGCAGCGAGAGGCTGCGGAATCCGGCACGATACTAAAGAGCACGTCATAAGTCTATACGAAAGCTCACATTTGCGATATACCTGACTGGGTATACTAGCCGCAGGATCCTCGCCGGGGTTGAGAGATCCTCCTCCTCTATATAATACTTCACCGTTCAACAGGTATGCCGCTACTAAAGCTAGACCATAGAGGTCGACTGCCGACGGGTTACTCGATACTAGGTTACGCGGTGGCAAGAATCTGAGAAATAGTAGTAGAATGATAGCAAGAAATATGGTTGAGGTAGTGAAGTCGAGATCTACTGTTACATCTGATAACTAAGACGCATGAGAAGTTCAGTAATGATGCTACGTGTAATAGCCCAGTCTGAGTGACCCGTCTCAATGCAACGATAGAGATACTGTCGAGTTTGCACGTAAGTGAATGAAAAAAGGCTGAAGGCTCTGCCCTTCAAACTGCCTGCTTGTGACGCTTAATCAGTTGAGTCTAGGAGTCCCTTAGAGGATTCGATAATATCGGACCGTCAGCGTTCGACACTTATCCCTCTCCCAAGCCCTGTAAGGCCACCGTTATCACCTCGTGAGTTTCGAGGACTCAATGTCGGACATAAGCCTATTGCCGTCAGCTTCTGAGATCGGCCTGGCCAGCTCAAAGCCACCAAGCCGAAATTCTCCTTTAGGGGTGATAAACACCGACTGAGGCCCGATGTTACCTAATGATACAAAATGACGATTCGAATGTGTTCCTCGATTCCCCAATTGAAAGGTAGAATTTCGCCTGCCACGAAATTCTACTTCACACACGGATCGTGCCCAAAACCGCGTGGATTACGAAAACTGAGCCCTATGGTGAATCCCACAGTAGAGCTATGTACGCGAAGAGATGCATACAGCATATTGTCAATACGTCATCATTGCTCAGTATGTTATCCTAAAACGAGCATATTGTGTATTACACTCGTCCCGATTCTAGACTCGAGAAGCAACGGAACCGACCATCCACCCATATTACCGTGTACTAACTTCCCGTCCACTATTACAAACCGCAAGGCAGAAATGATAGAGTACCTGAGAGATGAAGCAATGCTATCGAGAGACTTATCTACACTGGGCTGATGTGAAATGATAAATGTCTTCAAATGAGAGATGCCCTCGGAGAATGAGAGACTCATAAGCAATAAACGGTACGGTACTGCCGGGTATTATCCAGTATTTCAACAAGGCATTGACCACACGATTGCGAGTATTACTA